TCACTGGGCTAAACTCGGGGACTGAAGCCGACACTGGAGCGAGCTCTGGCGGACTTGACATCGGAGCGGCCGGCGGAGGGGTTCCGGATCGGGATCGGAGGCTCTCCAGACACCGGATGACCGCCTCCTTCCAGTTGAGGTTGGTGGTGTCTAGGAGCTCCGTTGACTGATGGTAAGTGACCCCGAGCCGGAATAGCGTCACGAGGGTCTCCCCATCGAGGGAGCGGGTCGAGGCTCACCTGAGCCATGGCGATGAACATCGCTCGTTCCTCCATGTTGGCGGGGAGAAACGAAATGGAAAACAAAAGACTTATAAAACAAAAACAAAAACACAGGAGAAGGGGTGCCGCTTACTTTTCTGTTTTGGTCCGGAATTCTGTCACATGTGCCTACTGTGCTGGAGCGAGGAGACGCGGAGACGTAGGAGATTGCAATGGGACACAGCTGGGATCAAATAAACACAATCAGGGCAGGACTAGGAAGACCAAATAAGGACATGGAAACACATGGGGAGCAGAACACACACAAAACACGGAACAGAGTCTGACAGTATGGGTCAAAAAAAATTATTAGGATATTAAGTAAAGATCATGTTCCATGAAGATATTTTGTAAATTTTCTACCGTAAATATATCAAAGCTTAATTTTTGATTGCTTAAGAACTTCATTTGAACAACTTTAAAGGCGATTTTCTCAATATTTAGATTTTTTTTGCACCCTCAGATTCCAGATTTTCAAATAGTTGTATCTCAGCCAAATATTGTTCTATCCTAACAAACCATACATCAATGGAAAGCTCATTTATTTCGAAAAATTGACACTTAAGACTGGTTTTGTGCTCCAGGGTCACATATATTTTAAAAAAGTACCGATAAGAATACCATTAAAGTACTGGATCGATAAGCAGTATCGGTAAGAGTAGTAATACCGTTAAAACCTTAACGATACCTATCCCTAGAAAACACGTTTGATGCTGTATGTGTGTGAGCGTCACACAGCAGGGGTCGAGTTTAAAACGCAGCGTGACCTTTACCCTCTAATCAAGCCACAAACTCCCGCACCTCCTTTGATTCATCTGTTCGTTTCAGCTATAAAAGCGGCTGATCTGCCATTTAACAAAACAAACCTCTCAACTCAACTCGCCCCGAAACGAAGCCACCGACGCACACCGGCGGAGAAAACCTCTGTAGATGTCAGCGACGCAAACCAGCTGTTTGAGCAAATTGAGCAAACGCTGCTGAAGCCAGACGTCAGAAGACAGGCAGCCATGTTTCTGCACATCTAACCTGTCTGTATGTCACCGCAGCGAAAACCTGGAACTTACCGGGACACGTGCAGCCTCCCACCGACATCTTCTCACATCACCGTCTCCGGAGCCGCGGCCGAACGCTGGAACAGAGACGATGAAATTCTCCTGCTGCTGCTGCTGCTGCTCACATGGGCGTCTGTTTCACACACACACACACACACACACACACACAGCGTCACTGAGAGCCAGAGAGGGAGGAGAGAGAGGGAAAGGTTAAAAAAAGACCAAGCACAAAAGACTGAGAGAGCAGAGAGAGAGACAGAAGCAGAGCGAGACGCATGTAATCTCTGCGCTTCTTCAATACAAATTCACGTTTCAGTGTAATCTGGTGTTTAATCAGTTTACAGGTCAAAGAAGCATCTAATCAATCGACTAATTCGGGGGTTTTAGATGCCACGGACCCCAAATATGATCATCCTCACACCCCCATCCTAAAATGTAAAAGGCATCTATATAGCTTCTTGTGTAAAGATGCAATTACACCATGAAAAATTATATTATAAATTCATCTACAATATTATTGGGAAAAATATTTAAGGTTCTATTATGTTACTGTTCTAATTTTATGTATTTGTTTGTTTGATAAAAATTTTATTATTTCAGATTTTTTAAATTATATTATATTATTTTTATTTTTCAAATACAACATGACTCATGCATTCATTCCTTCGTTAATGTATTCATTAAATCTTTCATTTTTCTGAATTTATTTTTAATATTTATTTATTTATTTAAAATGTTTTATTTAATTATTTAATAACTTATTTTTTATTTTCTTTATCTTATTTTTTATTGTTTAATTATTTGTAAATTTTTACACCACTTTACTCAAAACTCTTCCTCGGACTTTCGCTGGCCCCTAATTCTTAATGCATGTGATCTAATTAATTTCCTAGTATGCTGATTAATTAATCCAATGAATCAAATAAACTGCATACCAATATTTTCCACAAAATGACGATAATTCAAAAACATTATTATGGCAAAGTATATCAGTGGACAGACAAGAAGTGTCTTCAGAAGTCAATATAATGTTCATACATCACTGAAAAGTCACAGATGAAAGTGTCCTGAATGAACCGAATTCAGTGTCAAGTTAACAGAAATCAGCTCAATACCACCTTTAGGAAGCATATTTAGTTTGACTTTTAGATAGTCATAATCGCCATTGTTGATTTAAAAAAATCATTGATCTACACACTCTTTGATCTTATATTTTAGAGTATTTGTGGAGTCAATTATTTCTCCTCTGAGGTTTTTTGAGGCTACGCTGCTCTCGCTCAGACAAAATACCTCTGGCTCTGTTCCAAATCCTAGTGAGCTGCCTATAGAGGCGGCATTGTAAGGCATTGTAAAGCACAGTCATGTTGCCCTCTAAGATGCCTACTTTTGCTCACATGAAAGCAGCTCGTCACACTAGACTCCATTCACTTCTATTCATACGCACATGAACACAGGACACTCGAAACACAAGCTCATGCTAAGAAATGTCTTCGTCTGTAATGCCTCAGCACTGATGAACTCTGACCTGTAGATTCTCAACATCAGAGCATCAGAGGATCTAAACGTCACAGATTGACAAAGAACACAAACACATTTAACAGCCTCATATATAATACAACATAATGAATTTAATACCAAAAAACATTGATAGAAAATAGTTCAAATCTAATTAGAAATTAAGTATCTCATCCAATATTTGCTTGTGTTTATTAGCTTGTCAATATGATGGTGTCAAACTATTATGTATATTTTATATATAATATAACAACGCATTTAATACCAAAAGCATTGACAGAATCTTTTTTATTATTTAATTTATAAATGTTAGTTACTAAATAATTTTTTTGTTTACTTTTTATTATTTTTAATTGTTTATACATTTTTTGTTTATTTACGGATTTTAATCTAATTTTTATGTATTTGTTTATTTTTATAATTTTTAAAAAAATGTATTAGGAATTTAATTTATTTTTATTACTTATTAATTTGTGTTAATATATTGTTATTTATTTATTTATTATAATTTTTTTAAATTTATTTACTAGATTTTTTGTTTTGTTTTGTTTTGTACATTTTCTACAATGTTTTTCACCATGGCAATGTGGCAGATCACACGTGCACATAAACACACGTGTGCTTGCCCTTGACAGACAACCACCCAAACGACAACTCAGCGGAACCGGAGCAGAAACCGTATGAAGTCATTATGACCTGTTAGACATTTTAATTAGAAACGCTGTGATTGGTTCGTGATTGGGCAGATTTCTCAGGCGTCATCAGCAGTGTCGGGGGTAACGCATTACAAGTAACGTGAGTTACGTAATCAGATTACTTTTTTAAAGTAACTAGTAAAGTAACGCATTACTTTTTAATTTAGAAGGAAATATCGGAGTTACTTTTTCAAAAAAGTAACAGCAGTTACTTTGTTTCCATGTGTTGAGTGACAGCTCTGGTGTTGCCACGGTGACAGAAATCAGGAGAAAGTGCAGAGCGTTGTGTGTGAACATGATCTTACTGTAGTTCTAGACTAAATATCAACATGTGTTTACTCAAAAAAACTGATTCAGTGTTCCTCAAAATCAATAAAAACAGTGAAATGCAAACTCAGAATATTATACAAACCTGCAATAATTGTGTTAAATAAGTCAATCATTTATGTATTTAATCACATTTCATTAACCGATGTCTTTGCTACTGACATTCGATGATCTATTTTAATCATACTAATAAGCAAAAATCTAAACTTTCTTCTCCTGCGTCAGATTCTTCATGCTGCGCCCTCTACTGTACAGACGTGAATTTACATTCCTTTAGCCTGAGCCGTATTCATTTCACTTCTGTTGTGAAAGCGCTTTTACATTTGTAAAAGAAGCACTTTATATATTCAAAACAAACAAATAAGCCCCGCCCAGATTTACAAAGTAACTCAAAAGTAACGTAACGCATTACTTTCCATAACAAGTAACTAAGTAACGTAATTAGTTACTTTTTTAGGGAGTAACGCAACATTGTAATGGATTACTTTTAAAAGTAACTTTCCCCAGCACTGATCATCAGAACTGCAGGTTGCGTTGGAGATCTCAACAAGTCACATTGTCTGCTGAATAATTAGCTTTATAACAAAAACAAAAGTCAAGGATATAGCCGAGTTAAGGCTGCTCTCTGCCTGCTCAAAATGCAGTGTAAATACGCAATGCTGCATAAAAGCCAGACTTAAGTTATGTCTGTTCTGACCTCACGTATCACAGTATACAGTCGTAACTGCGGTGTAAATGCATTTATGCCGCCTCTGAGCAGCTTTGAGAAAGACACCTAAATGCTGCTTCAGAATTGAATCAGTAACTCTGTATTGTTTTCAAGTGAATTATCAAGTCACATTTACATGAGAAGAAACTTACCATAATAATATGAAGACTTGAGACTTATGGACAAGCATTTTGTCTTGTTCCAATAACAGATTTGTTTTCACTTGCTTTAAGCCTAAATATCTCTAAATGTGTCATTTCTTATTTTTATTTTTTAGATTTTTCTTATTTTTATTTATATAATATCTTTAATTTTTTATTTCTTATTTTTTATTTATTTATTAGATATTTTATCCGATCTTTTTATACGTTTAGATTACATGCGCCGTCATTAAGCTTTAAAAACTCTAATAATTAAATAAATGTAATCCATTTTTTTCGTGATGCCTAAATTTAGTTGTGGCATTTAAAATGATGTGTTTTTATTTATTTATTATTTTATTTTATTTTACAAAATAGTATGGTTATGAAAAATAAAATTACAAAAAAAATAAAATAATTACCATCTTATTTGTATAAATCAGAATTTGAATATTGGTGCAGCTCATGGTTTTGTCCAAACATATAATGCAGTGATTGAGAGCTGAAGAAATAAAGGCTCCTCAGAAGATGTGAGATGTTCTGGAGGCTTGTGAAGATCATTCCTCCGCTGAGGAACAGTCAAAGTAAAGCTTCTGGAAACAAACGCTCCTCAAAAGATCCTGAGGATCAGATTTGAGACTCTAAAACATGATTGATGGAGAATCAAGTAAAGCTGAGCTGCTTCAGTCCAGTAAGTGTTCATCTGGAGATATTACTGCAGTTATTCTGATGTATTCTGAGTGTCACATGCGCAGCTTCTGTGTAAATTTGGCATTAAATATCTAGAAGTGTGTGTGTGTGTGTGTGTACCTGGTATTTATCACGTTATGGGGACCAAATGTCCCCACAAGGATAGTAATACTAGTAAATTTTGACCTTGTGGGGACATTTTTGAGGTCCCCATGAGGAAACAAGCTTATAAATCACACAGAATGAGTTTTTTTGAGAAAGTAAAAATGCACAAAGTTTCCTGAAAGGGGTAGGTTTAGGGGTAGGGTTGGTGCAGGGCAATAGCACATACAGTTTGTACAGTATAAAAACCATTACGCCTATGGAATGTCCCCATAAAACATGGAAACACAACATGTGTGTGTGTGTGTGTGTGTGTGTGTGTGCCTGGTATTTATCACGTTATGGGGACCAAATGTCCCCACAAGGATAGTAATACTAGTAAATGTTGACCTTGTAGGGACATTTTTGAGGTCCCCATGAGGAAACAAGCTTATAAATCATACAGAATGAGTTTTTTTGAGAAAGTAAAAATGCACAAAGTTTCCTGTAAGGGGTAGGTTTAGGGGTAGGGTTGGTGTAGGACAATAGCACATACAGTTTGTACAGTATAAAAACCATTACGCCTATGGAATGTCCCCATAAAACATGGAAACACAACATGAGTGTGTGTGTGTGTGTGTGTGTACATACCGAGCTGGTGAACCAGGTGGAGCTCTCACACACATCTGAGACTCCGAAACAGAAGCACTCAGTGCAGCCCTCAGGATTACTGTCCTGTAGGTTATAGAAGCCCTGCTTACACAGATCACAGCTAGAGCCCATCACATTCACCTGCGGAGAGAGAGAGAGATGAGGATTACAGCCCTGTACAGCCTAACACATGAAATAATAGTCAGAAAAATCTAACATGGTAGTTTAATGAACCTTTAGACAAATATAAAAGCTTTTGATATTTGCTCCATCAGGCGTTTATGCCTCATATAGTCTGACATAGTGAGAATATGGAGGAAAAGACCCAAACTGACCAAAAATATGCAGTTCGGTGCAGATGCAGATATTTATGTGATGAAATTCTGCTGCTTGTAATGGAAATCAGTGAGATCTTTCTTGTGTGTGAGTGAGTGTGTGTGTGTGTGTGTGTGTGTGTGTGTGCGGTCCTGTACCTCTGTACAGCTGTGATCTTTGTCAAAGCCAGTTGTTTCTCCCGTGTCGTTCTGTCATGTTCCAGCTCTCAGTTTCTCCGTTTTTCTGCACACACGTTCAGGTTCTCCTCTTCTGAGAGACGAACAGTGAGTAGAAAGACAGAAAAAGACGCTTCATCACCTGTTTCCTTTTACATTTGTGTTCTCAGCTCTCTCTGGGATCAGATGTTTGCACCACCACACATGACAGAGCAGCTTTTAGCGCTGTAGTAATAGGCTGGCGTCTTGCTGCCAATGGCTGATGAGGTGTCAGGTTAAAGGTCAGGGGTCCTCTATGCTGATTGATGTTCTCTGCAGACCAAAACACCCACACACACACACACACACTCACACACACACACACACTCACACTCACACACACTCACACTCACACACACACGTCAAGTGACATGATGAATAATACACAATTTAAAGGGCTAATTGACTTCTGTAGTATGGGGAAAAAAATACTGGAAGTCAGTGGGGACCAGAAACTGTTTGGTTACCAACATTCTTCAAAATATCTTCTTCAAAATAACTCATACAAGTTTGGAGCAACTTAAAGGGATATTTCACCCAAAAATGAACATTCTGTCATCATTTGCTCTCCCTCGTGTCGTTCCAAAACCTGTACGAGTTTCTTTCTTTAAAAGAAGATAGTTTAAAGAATGTTGATAACCAAACAGTTTCTGGTAGCCATTGACTTCCATTGAATTATTTTTCTGTACTATGAAAGTCAATGGGCACCGTTTGGTTATCAACATTCTTCAAAACATCTTCTTTTGTGTTCAACATAAGAAAGAAACTCATACAGGTTCGGAACAACTTGAGGATGAGTAAACCATGACAGAATTTTCCTTTTTCAATGAACAGTCACTTTAAATCGTAGTTTATGAACTTCATTTCTACCCACTAACAAAAGGAATAAATGTTAAAGAATACACTAGCTTGAGGGAAACGAAAAGTGTGTGTTTATGTTTGTGTGTGTGCATGCTTTCTCTCTTCTACATTTCATTTGAGAGGCTTTCTGGGTTTCCTGCCAAAGAGGCCACCGATACTGGAAACAAGGGAAGAGGAGGGTGAAGCGAGAGGAACAGGAGGAAGCTCTGTGACCGTCTGCTGGAGGTGAGCGGATCTACCTGTGTGTGTGCAGATAATGGAGATCTCTCAGGAGAAACGGCGGCAGCAGGGTCCGGATGGATCCGGAAGGTGACCCACTTTCACAGAGCTCCCTTCTGCTTCACAAGACACGCTGACCCCGTTTCTCAGAGAGAGAGAAAGAGAGGAAGAATTAACATCGGAACATCTGAGAATAATGCTCTGCTGACTTTGGAAAACAGGACTTTCCTTGTTCTTTGAGTAAAATAATGTAATATAATGCTCTTTACTGAAATTATGTCACAGGCGAAAACATTGTTATCATGTTCTGGTCAATTTTGAGATTTTGGTCTATTTTGCTTTCATAATATGTGACCCTGGAGCACAAAAGCAGTGTTAAGTCGCTGGGGTATATTTGTAGCAATAGCCAACAATACATTGTATGGGTCAAAATTATAGATTTTTCTTTTATGCCAAAAATCATTAGGATATTAAGTAAAGATCATGTTCCATGAAGATATTTTGTAAATTTCCTACCATAAATATATCAAAACTTAATTTTTGATTAGTGATATGCATTGCTAAGAACTTCATTTGAACAACTTTAAAGATGATTTTCTCAATATTTAGTTTTTTTTGCACCCTCAGATTCCAGATTTTCAAATAGTTGCATCTCCTCCAAATATTGTCCTATCCTAACAAACCATACACCAATGGAAGCTTATTTATTCATCTTTCAGATGATGCATAAATCTCAATTTCACAAAATTTACCCTTATGACTGGTTTTGTGCTCCAGGGTCACATATTAGTTTATGAACATCTAACAAAAGGAATAAACGTTAAACAATACACTAGTTGAAGGAAATGAAAAGTGTGTGTGTGTGTTTTCTCTCTTCTAGGTTTCATTTGAGAGGTTTTCTGGGTTTCCTGCCAAATTCTGAGAGGCCACCGATACTGGAAACGAGGGAAGAGGAGGGTGAAGCGAGTGCGAGAAATGCAGGAACAGGAGGAAGCTCTGTGAGCGTAGCACATCGTCTGCTGGAGGTGAGCGGATCTACCTGTGTGTGTGCAGATAATGGAGATCTCTCAGGAGAAACGGCGGCAGCAGGGTCCGGATGGATCCGGAAGGTGACCCACTTTCACAGAGCTCCCTTCTGCTTCACAAGACACGCTGACCCCGTTTCTCAGAGAGAGAGAAAGAGAGGAAGAATTAACATCGGAACATCTGAGAATAATGCTCTGCTGACTTTGGAAAACAGGACTTTCCTTGTTCTTTGAGTAAAATAATGTAATATAATGCTCTTTACTGAAATTATGTCACAGGCGAAAACATTGTTATCATGTTCTGGTCAATTTTGAGATTTTGGATTCAGCTTCAGATGATGTATACATCTCAATTTAGAAAAATTGACACTTAAGACTGGTTTTGTGCTCCAGGGTCACATATGTCAGACTAGAGGAAAGAAAACATCCAAAATACACATTTAAGAGTTTATTTTATTGCACTTTATCTGTAGATCTCAATTTCAATATATATCTTTAAAGAGTTTTTTCTCCACTTCTGCAGCACTTACAAACACCAAAACTTAGAGTTTTATTCCTTTCTATATTCTGAAGGTTTTTACTGAGGGGTTTGTTCATATATCAATCACACTGATTTATACATTTATACTTATTCCTAAAAATATGGTGAATTTTTATGGTAAATTTTATTATGGTGAATATTGTTGACAGTATTTTCTGAATTATGGAGTAATATTTTGCCTCCATAGACATAATTTCCCTAGTTGATTGATTACATTGAGAATTGCAGACTTTTTTGTATTACAAGTTTTCTTAAATGTTATGTTTAAATGCACAAACGTTGCATTATCTAATTAATTATGATCTAATTTGCATATATTTCCCGAACATAAATCTGAACATTGGATAAAGCCAGGTCCAAAATTCTTGTTTGATTTTGTTGACATATTAGAGTTGAAGATTTTTACAGAAGGGATTTTGGATTTGTCTTTTTATCACTCCATAAATCAGAAAATACTGTGAAACATACAGAAAAAATAAATTTTCACCATGTTTTTAAGAATAAAAACTCAGGTGAATGATATACATACAAACCCCTCAGTAAAATTCTTCAGAATATAGACAGGAATAAAACTGCTAAGTTTGGTGTTTGTAAGTGCTGCTGAAGTGAAAATAAAACTCATTTTGAGAAAACAACTTTTAACGACTTAGATATGCACTGTAATTGAAATCTACAGACGCAAATAGATAGTGTAATAAAAAAAACACTTAAAATGTGTATTCTTGACATTTTCATTCCACTAGTCTGAAAGAAAATATTAGTTCAGTTCTGTTCACCTGTGGTGACTTAAATATTAAGAAATCTTCATCTTCAAATCACAATCATGAGCTCATTAACTAGGGATGAACCGATATTCAAATTAGCAAGTACAGAGATGTTGATGATTATTTTCATGTTATGGCCAATAACCATTAAATTTTGTCTAAATAAATGAAAAATAAAACACTAAAAACCTAAATCAATCGTTGCAGGCATTATAATAATGTACATTACATTGAACGGTGTTGTTAAATTATTATTATAGTTTTTAATTTAAAATCAATTACCAATACCAATAAATTAATTTAAAAAAAACTAAATTTAGAGATGTTTATGGCTAAAATCAGTGTTATTTACAGATATACTGTTATATTTTTTTGTTAATAGATTTTATTAGTTTTTTTTAATATCTCTATATAGTTTTCACTAAGTTTTAGTTTATTTAGTTTTAGTTATTTTAGTACTTCAACTTAAAATGATCAAAAATTAGAAATGTTTTCTGGGCAACTAGCTGACATAAAATATGTTTAAGTTAAATTCATCTTATTTCAGTCAATGTTTATTTCAAGTAATGAAAATGTTTTTATGTTTTATTTAATGGTAATTAACAGTGCTTAAAACAAGTGAAAACAAATCTGCTAATGGAAAGAAATAGTCTCAAAAGTTTATTATCTTATGGTAACGTTAAATTTCTTCTCAAAATGTATCTTGATATTTTACTAGAAAACAATACAGAAATGCTGATTTAAATGTGTATTATGTTATTGAAATAAGGAGTTGAAGAAATTAATATTTCACTTTAAATAAACAATCCATTATTTGGCCCCTAATTAATTAAATAAAAGCAATGTGAATTAACAGAAAATGAATAATAAATCGTTACTGATTAAAGCCTAATAGCCAATCTGCCCTACCTGACAAAATGGACCACTAGATGCCACAAATAAAATAAAATATGTAAAATAATAGTAATTTCAAAGCCTTAAAGTGACTTTGCTAATTTAGAATACAGTAAAACGAATCTGAGGTAAAGTGATTAGACCGTTGTAAGTTGTTGCCTAGCAACTGCAACGACATTTTTTTTTAAACGTATTCAAGGCGAGCTGTCATTTTCCCGGGAACCTCCGCATCACGTGACTCACCCGGCGGCGCCTAGTGTGCAGCTCTTCTCGCCGAATCAAAATGGCGGCGCCGCATGGCGTAAACCCGAAGGATTTAAAGTGTGATTTTACGGACCATACAGCAGCACAGGCGCACCGCGACTCTCAGGTCTCATATATGTTTCTGTTGTATG